TGATATAGAATCATTAATTACATATACAAACCTTATAAAAAACGTATCATTTCCTTATTTCGATTTCTTATAGGGTTGAGTTTTTGAAGTATTTTGTTTTAACATCTACAAAATATTATAAAATGACCTAAGTCATAGGTCATTTAGCTTTTAAAGTGACTAAATGACTAGTGACCAGTCATCAAAGTCATTTGGGTCATTTCAAGTCACTTGCCATCACTGTAACCGTGACCATTAGCATCCCTACTTTTTAATCTTATCTTAAAAAAAGATACAATTATAAAGTAAGAATATTCTAATAATACAATTATATTTGGAGTAATAACTGCAGTTTTAAGGAAGTCTCATCAAAATATTTTTAAACTATAAATGTCATAATTTTGCTTTTATCAATATTTATATATTCATTCCTTTGTGTAAATTGAATTGATTAAAAATTTTACTTTTTTTTTAATAACTTTCATTGTTTTTCTGCAGATCCCGAGCTTTTAGAGACAATATACTTTACTATTTCTAGCTTGAAAAACTTTCTTTATTCAAACAAATATTGTAATGGTTTGATAAATTTCCACAGCAAAGCTATATTTAAAATGATAAATTTTTTTTTCACATGTTTCATCACACTTAAATTCATGAAATATATCATAATTTTGACGATATTAAGTAATATCAACTAATTTTTTCTTTCAAAGGAAATCAATTTGTAAATTAGAGTATTATTTCTAACATGGTTCGCTGCTTAATAATAGATTGTGTTTTAATAATTTATTTACTTTGCTTTATTGCTTTATTGCTTTAAAATTTTATCATTATAATGCAAAGTGCATACATTGAGTAATAAATAAGTTGAGTTCATTATAATAAATCAATCAAATTTGGGCGTTCTCATCTCACTCAATGATTTGATTATAATGTTCATGCACTTAATAAGGATCATTACTTGAACAGCTTTTCTTCATTCATAACTTACGAAATCTTAAGTTAATGGGCAACTACTCAAAAGAAGTGCTTAATTTTGTTAATTTTATTAATAAAACAATCCATTGAGCTAGGTTCTTGAGGTAATTTAATAGGAAGACATTTAAACTTCTATTTTTTTTGCTAGGAATTTTCGGGTGCAGATCTATAATACAGTAAATTCTGAACAGATCATTCTTTTGGAAGTTTCGATGAAATTGATGGAATTCATTTTTAAATTCGGAATTTCCTTTGAGAATTACGAAATGTTTATTCATATTAAAAACATAAAATATATAAAGTAGGTTTTGAATGTCTGAGACGAATTTGCAAAAATAATCACGAATCAATATCAATTTTAATAAATTTTAAACATAAATCGACTTTTTAATTTCAAATGACACGAGATCAGCAAATACAAACCGTCGTTAAATTAAAGTCTAAGAAATGTATTAAATGTAAAAAAATAAGAAAACCTTCTGAAGAGAATTATGAGGTTTGCCGTATTTGTTATAGAACAAATATAACCTTGAATCCAATTGGAAACAAGATTATAGACGATTTTATCGAATATACACAAACTAACGAAATAAAGCAAGGAAAAATGGAGTTTGTTCCATACGATCAATTCAAAAATATAGAAATTATTGGTGAGGGAGGATTTAGTAAAGTTTATAAAGCTATTTGGATTGATGGTACAATAAAGAGTTGGAATTATAAAGAACATAAATATAATCGGAGACCAAATATTCAAGTTGCTCTTAAGAAACTTAACAATTCTAAAAACTTTAATTCTAAGGAATTAAACGAGGTATATATAAATTTTACTTTTTTTATTTATTATGATACATACTAAGTTAATAATCTTTTTTCAGCTTAAAATATTTTATAAATTAAGAACATACAGTAATGTTATTTCGTATTATGGAATTACGCAAGATCCTAATACTAAAGAATTTGTGATAATTATGGATTATTGTGAAACAGGAGATCTATCCCATTATATAGCTAATGATTTTTTTAATGTTAGTTGGGATACAAAGTTATGGAATTTATGGAATATTGCAGATGGCCTATCAAATATTCATGAGGGGGGTATTATCCACCGTGATTTTCATAGTGGAAATATTTTGATGTATCAATATAATCAAAGTCATTCTATTAGAATAGGTGATTTAGGATTAAGTAAACCTGCTACTGAAGTTGAAAATAGTGAAATTTATGGAATTATTCCATATATGGCTCCAGAGGTTCTTCAAGGACAAAAATACACCATAAAATCAGATATTTATAGTTTTGGTATGATTATGTGGGAGTGGATGACAGGCAGAAGACCTTTTTGGGATCGTGCTCATGATATTGAGCTGATTATTGATATTTGTGATGGCTTACGTCCTCAAACAAGTAATATTAACGCACCTGAAGGTTATATTGAGCTAATGAAAGAATGTTGGGACCCTGATCCAAGTAAAAGGCCAGCTAGAGGCATCAGTAGTAGAATTTGGGACATGTATATTTCTGAACAGAGAAATCCAACCGATATTGTAGAATCATCAGAAATTGGACCTATAACAACAAACAATCCCGGTGCTATTTATAAGAGTAGATCTTTAAGTAGCATGATAAACTCCGCAGAATCCACAAGAAGTTTGCGAAGTCGATCCATTTCTTTGGATTTTGGTAATTAATAATTAAAAATTATTTTACCACATTTTTGAAAAATGCTAAATTTATTAATAACCTTTTTTTCCTTTTTTTAAAAAAAAGGTAAACGAAAGTTTGAAAGCGATAAATTTGGAGGTAAAAAAATTTCCAATTTATACGATTTAAAAAATCAAAAAAAATCTATTTATTAATCAATTGAAATGTTTCTGTATGATTTTATAGATAAAGGCAGTAAAAAAATTAAATTATTGGAAGATGAAACTTACATGTCGAAAGAATTGGAATTTGATATTTAATTTGGTAGTATTAGTACAAATGCCTAATATGAAGCAAAGCAATGAAAACGACCGGTACACAAGTTCTTACTATTCTATTTAATTATCATTTATATTGACGAAAAATAGTTGTATAAAATTGTAATTTATTTCTATTAAATACTTATATCTTTGTAAAACGATCGCAAACAAGTTTTATCATGATAAAAATCTTGAATCGAACTTATGACCATTTTTATTTTTATTTACCAGTATTTACAATAATTTTTGCTTGAAACAATGCAACAATTTTTTTTTAAAACATGATAAAAAAAAAATATATTTTTTTTTTATAAAATATCCGGAGATTACTTTAATTGCATGAGACGATCAAGTATTCTTTCTATCCCATTATCTAATTGAAAAAAAAGGTAAATTGTAAAAGACGGAGAAAAAGCTTAATTATTTGATGCATTAGACCTGAATTAAAATGAATTAATTAATGACTTTTTTATTGATTGTTAATTAGACTCGGTTAGCGACTGAACCAACCGAGAAGCATCAAACGACTGGCTGAGTCAACTCTAGAACTTACAACGTAATTTTGATCAATTCCGTCTACTAAAGTTCATAAAAGACATGCTAACAAATCATTAGCAAACGAATAACTATTATTCGTGTTAATCGATCGTGTTGGATGATCGAGTAACTCTAGAATTTAATAAGTTAGGTGATGAATAATTTAACGAATTTCGTGGTTTAAATTCAGGATTTTGCTATAGAATAGTTAAACCAATCAAATGATTATGAAGTGATTATTCAATTGACAAACGCATGCATGGCCACAGAATTTTTTTGGCTGTTGATTATGGTTAGGGATGATTTCATCTGCCCAATCAGAATCTTATACAGTACAGAATTATCCATGATTTACACGGAACCCCCTTTGATACGCTCCGGGAAATGATAAATTTAGTATCGTGAAAAAAAAATTTTTTTAATTATTTTTTTGTTCCGTTCATTTCCTTTCTTAAAATATAAAATGACCACACAGTATTTACCAGATGATTGCATTTATTACATTTTAAAGCACCTACAAAATAATCACTCAACATTATTCGAATGTTTGTTGGTCAACCGATTCTGGTGTAAAGTGACGGTTCCATTGCTTTACATGAGTCCCTTTGAAACCATAGATAAACGTCACAATTACTCAATAATCATGACATTAATTACATGCCTTAACAAGGCAGAAATCGTTCAATTAAGAAATCAATTGAATTTTATCAATGTTCAAAACATAAAGATTAATGCCGAGTATAAACCATTATTTGATTACACAAAGTACATTGAAATTTATAATGATACCATTATAAATTTGATAATATCCAATTGGTTTAATAGTTATGTGAACATAATCGATTATCGACGTAAAGGAATGCTTAATAATTTCATATCGACCTTTCATCAATCAATATTGAATCAATGTGTTAACATCAAGCAATTAAATATCTCATTGATCCTATTCGAAAAGGATAATTTTAACATACAATTTATTAAAAAGTTCTCCTCAAATTTATTAAAATTAATTTGCTTAAATCTAAAAAATTTTAATGAGATTAATAATGAGGTCGTGTTAGAATTTTTAAATAGTATCGAGAATAATTGTTTGAACCTGAGGAAGTTGGAACTTTCATTATACAAGAGTTACTCTTTATCCACGCTTACGAGGAAGCTTTGTTCGATAATTCAAAATCAACATCATTTAAACATAATCAAATTATCCAATTGTGATTTCATACTGGATGATATCTTTTTATCATTGGAATTTCAAAGAAATTCCTTGACCTACTTCGAATTTTCGTACACAAACTTTTCACATGCTTCTTTTAAGGACTTTATAGATCTGAATAATTTAAAATATTTGAAATTTTATAGCTGTAAAGAGATTTCATTGGAGAATTGTGAAATTTTAAAATTTGCTTCATTCAACCTCAAAGAGTTAATCCTTCAATATAATAGTTGGAAATCAAATATTACAATTTCAATGATTAAATATTTAGGTATTTCATTACAAAGGTTATTAGTATCTGACAAAACAACGATACAAATCATTCAAACCATATCGGATCATTGTTTAAATCTGTCTACTTTAGAAATCAAAGTTGATTCAACTACTGACATCTCAATATTTCCTTATTTAAAAAATCTAAATATCAAAATCTTGAATATACTGATCTTTATAAATAACAATGGCATGGGTGATTGGTTCATTAGTTTGGCAAATTCTTTGCCTACAAGTGTTAAAGAAATCTCTTTTCATAGTATTACCCTGTTTCATTCCTCTTATTTTAAGATCTTATTAGATAATTGTCACGAGTATTTGGTCACCATTAATTTAAATGATTATATTAATTTATATAATCTGAAGGCTGTCTTGGATTACGCTGAAAGGAGTAATCATCATTTAAGATTACTCGGAATTCGGATGAATGGAAAACGATTGAGTGATGATGAGTCCCAATTAATGGATAAAATCAAGACGAAAGGAGTCAATGTGATGGAATTTAATAGTATCTATAAAGAGACGGATTATGTATTTCATCAATAAAGTTTGAAAAGCTTGGTCAATTTTTACTGTTGGAGGATAATAAAGAAGTGAAGTAAATGTTTCTGTAAAAAATAATATATAATTTGGTTAAAATTAGAGACTGAAACATTATTTTAGGAAAAATTATTTTAATTACGCACGGGAATAAGGTTAGATGTACGGGAGGTGACATTATGATCAAAATTTAATGATTAACAAACCAGATCAATCCAATTCAAATGTATATAATATAATAACACAATCACATTAATAACATTTTGAATTTTAAAATATTAATAAATAATAAGCATGTTACAGGAAAAAAATATATTATTATTTATATCAAATACAAAATAAATACATATAAAAGAAATATTCAGATTAAATTTCATTATTTAATTCTCTCTATCATTAATTGTTTACATCCTAAATTTTCTAAACATCTACAATATTACTTTTTTTTTTATTTTTTTTTTTATATAAAAAAATTAAATTAAATTAAAAAAATCAATCAATTATAACGTTGCACTGTCACTAATGTTTTCATCAACATCAAGCTCAACATCTTCCAAATCAGAATCATTTTCCTCCTCTTCTCTCATAACGTAATAAGGTCTTTTAGCATTTTGCGAATTTCTATTTATTCCCATAAAAACGCTACCAACTTTACCAATAATAGTTTTTCTTTGACCTCTTCCATTTGGCGAATCATCATCATTTTGTATTTTCTTTTCTTTTGAAATAAGCCATTTTTTACGTATTCCATCTTTATCTTTTCTTTCGAAAACCACCTTATTTAAATATAAATAAATTCTATTTAATAAGCCTGAATGGAATAATCCGAATTTTCCATTCCCTAACCATAACCCTCTTTTCTCCAAGAATTCTTCTAAATCTAATCGTTTCATTGGTTGATAACATATACTCGTTCGATATAATGGTGAAAAATCCTTTTCGTATTTCTGTAAATATGGAATTCGTTTTCCATTCTTATTCCATAAATCTTCCCAGAATAAATACCACCACTGATGCACTCGAGACGTATGAACTATTCTCATACGTTCATATAAATAAACTATTGTTGGATATTCGTGTTCTGGTATTGATTGAACATGCTGATTTTCTTCTGTGTTGAGTAATACCGAAGGAAGTGCTTCCAAAGGTATTGAAGGATTATTAAATATGTTAATATAGAATCCATATGTCAATGATTCTTCCTTTGATCTGGATTCGTCTCGATAATATTGTCGGTAGTCATTCATCGTTGTCTGAATCTGGTCAAGTCCCATTTCAACCAATTTGTAATTATCTCCGAATAATTTCTCAAGTTGATTAGTCATTTTAAAGTCCTCGGTTATACCAATGACTTCCTGTGTAACTAAATGAGGGCATTTACTTTCTTTGGGTCCGGGTTCTGAATATGTAATCGTAACTTTGAATCCCGGATTTAAATCATGACCGTTCCAAAGAGATCCATGCTTTCTTTGAATGGAAAGAATACCTCGATGATAATGAACCTATTGAGAATTATTTAAAATGTAAAAATTAGTAAAGACGAGATTTCAAATTTTTATACTTTTATATATAACAAAGTTTTTACCAACCTTTTCTTTTAAATAATCTACATTTTCATAACAAGGTCCAATGATATTCTTTCCTTCCAAAGCTCGAAGCATTTGTCTAACCAACCTTCTTCGTAGAATTTCTTTGCTTTCGTTCTGTTGTAAGTATCTCTGAAGTTCCCATTCTTGTTTCAATACTAGAATGCTGTCGTCTTCATCATAACACATTACGACACAAAATGGGAAAGGTACAACATAAGCTTTTCCAAAACCTGATTTCTTACTAACATCCAAAAATTCCTCGGCATAGTACATATCAACTCCAACATAATTATTCAAAATTTTTGATTTTATGTTGACCATGGACGACGGTAAAGGTGTTAAGGCTTTGACATAATTTTGTAAGCCTACTGCCGACACTATTTTACAGTTTTCAATATGCCTTTCTCCTACGCTTCCAAAGAAATTTAATAAATATGGCGCTCGATAATTCGCTTCACTAAATAACAAAGATTTTCCTGCAGAAAGTGCTGGAGGTTTGAATTTCTCATTAGTTAAAAGTAATTTTGTCCAAGTATCTTGCCAAATTCTTTCTTTTATCAATCTATCAAAATCCAAATCTGCTGATGAAATATTCAATGAAAATTCTAATTTCTTTTTTCCAAGGCTTCCTCTACTACCTCCTATACTTCTACTTATACCATATGCACCACCACCTCCCATATATCTCAAACTAAAATCATTCATCCTTTTCATTAAATAACAAGCAATGATTATCAAAATTGTAACATTAACCATAAATAATCCAATACCAAATCCATCTACAGGTCCTATGTTCAATATTATGAGAAGACCGATAACACTTGTTATCAGATAAGAAAATCTGGCCCAATATTCGGCGGTATTAAAGTTTGAATAGAGAAATGGTTCACCCTTCCAATGTGAAATGAATAATAACACGAAGAATAAGATTTGTATTACTTGAGCGATGGTGGAAATTTGATGTCGCGTTGTTGAGGATCTAAATAAACAGTTATCTTTGGAAACAACCACCACCAAGAAAATAAGGAAGAATTTCATCGCCATAATAAATGATTTATAAGTTCCCCAATTATCATTATATCCTAAAAATAGTTAAATGAAAGAAATTAAATAATGTTCATCACAGGTAAAATAAATGAATATGAAAAACTCACCATTAAATAAAAATTTGTGGGGATAGTTATCTTCCTCATCTACAACGGTCTTTTTTCCTTTCGTTTCTTCGCTTGCTGTCAAACCAAATCTTCCCGTCTGTCTATCCACGATTTTCTTTAATGTAATCGGGAACCAAAAACTGATAGCACCCAAGTTTAATAATGCCAAAGCAATGATAAAAGGCGAAAAGTTCAATCCATCCTTTTTCATGCTTGTAACATAACAGAAATCTTTTGGATAACGTAACGCATCATTTCCCTCTTCACCCATTGAATCAAAATCTGGAAAATCTACATTTGGCAGGTAAGGATTTGCCACTGGCCAGAATGGTGCAGCCCAGACCACTGCATCCAATGATAATTTCGTTATTGGAACGTATATTGTGGTAAGAACAAATATATTTATGTGATTTTTAAGTAAAGAACATGATGATGTACGAGATGATCCAATATTCTAAGAAATCAATCAATATGTAATTAATTAATTAGAAATAGGGAAGGATTAAGCAAAAAAAAAATTATAATAAAAATTTAAATACCTCAACATCAGAAGCTTTACTCCATTTAGTAATATTTCTGAACAAATATAAGGAACCGAATCCAATGACGAAAAATAACAAAAAGAAAACAACTCCAAATCCAAATACATCGTCCATTTGAAGACTTAAGAAATCAGGAATTGAGGCTAATATTATATAAATCCAATTGCGACTAAACATTCCTTGCGTAACAAATGATAAGGCTAATGACATGAATTGTATGAAATCTCTCATTATCTCCAATTTCGAAAACCTTTGTTCGTACACTATTGAAATTGCTTCTTGGCATTTTTCCGAAGAAGGAGAAGGCGAAGATCCGACAATTCCTCTTTCGGTAGGTCCATTGTTGTTATCATCTTTTCCTTTCCCTATAGATTCAGTATCGTTCTGATCATTTGCGGACTGGCTAATTATAGGGAATAAATATTCAGCAAGTTTCTGGTTATTTCCTTGTGCTAAGAATTTCCCATATTCTTCGGAGGTCATGATTTCTTTTGGATTTGAGAATTCGGTATTTGGCAATGATTCAATATATTCATCAAGGTGTGGTAATTTTATCCAAGGAGTACCGGGTAAGAAATGTTGATTTTTTTCAGATTCATCAAATGGATTTATGGTTAATCTAGTAATTCTAATGGACGATGAAGGAACATTGGGATCAACTGGTTCAATAATATTTTCAATTGAAATCTCCATAGTGCTAGTCTCTTGTACATTTTCCTTGCCATTTTCTGTGATAGAACTAATTCGTGTAAAATCTGGCACAGTCATATTATTCTTATAAAATGTTTCGTTATATTGATGATGACGATCACGTATAGATAAATCTGGAAGAGAATGATTAATCTTCCCATATTCAATCGCAGAGATACTATGTGGAATCAACATTGAAATATTCTCTTTTGTGGCATTATAATCTGGTAAATTATGATTATAATTATTTATCGACACGGATTTTAATATATTTTTCTTTTCCTTGAGAATAAATGCGGGAGAAAGTGTATGTCTCTGAGGACGTGTCGTTGAATAAGGAGATTTCGGCACTTGTACAGGTTTATATTTGTGTTGGCTATGATGACGCCTTTGTTTAGATTCAGAGACTGATTCTAAACTCCGTATAGAACTTGACTTTCTTAATGCATTGACATTAACACTTCTACTGGTTTGTTCACTCCTTCTATTTTGTTTAAGAGATCGATGTGAAATTCGACGTGACTCATTACCCGCCTGAGGTGTTGTTGATATTTCATCACCACCATCTGAGTTTTTTTTTTGATTTAAAAAATTTCCAAAATTATCCAAAATACTCAATTTATGGCTGTTGTGCTTAATATCCTTTGGATCATTTTCATCGTTTTCATCATCAAATTTAGTTGTAGAACGTGAATGCGTAATGCTTGTTTCTTGCAACTCAATAGCATGCGAATTTGTAATCTTATCCTTTGAGAGATGTTTCTTTTTCTTTTCAGATTGTTTTTTATCAACAAATGGATTATAATGTTGATCTTCATCACTTTCCACATCTGTAACATCATTATCCTTCTTAACATTATCCAAATATGAAGAAAATGGATTTACATTTAATTTCAAATTCACTGAAGAAGCATTAGGTGATTCAACAAAGAATTTCCAAGAATCCGTGTCATCTGACATGAATGAGAAAATATAAGAGTTAGCAGATCGGTCCAAGGGACTTTCTTTGAGTGGTCTTGGTATAGGTTCCT